ACACAAGTGACAGTGTTATTTTATGCATAGCTGCCGCTCCCGCTCATTATTCGCAGTTCGGAAGACACGTGCATGACTGGCGGGTTGAATGACTGGTTGATAGATCGACTGCTTGATCGGTCCGTTGTCTAAGCGACTGATTGGTTGATTGATTGATCGATCATCCAATCAACCAGCCAATCTATCAACCAACCATCCAAATGACCAATCAACCGAACGGGGAGGCCGAAGTTCGGATGAATCCGAACCATGATGGTAGTCCGCGGACGGTACGATCAACACGAGTCTCCGACACAGAACTCGCCCCGTAGTCGAAGCCTGGAAATCGAACGTGTTCGCCGAGACCTTGGGATGAACACAAACCACCCAGATCAAATTCGGATGCATCCGGCCCTCGTCCGTCTTGAACTCTGCCCCCCCTTCGCACTCACAATGACGTGTATTGAAAACCAGATTTATGGATGAATACGATCCACAGCCGCTTGGCAACCGAAGCTTGGATGGATGAACTGGCGAAAACGATACATGTCGACCATTCCTTGCTTAAGTCGGACTAATCCGAAATTCCACCACGGACATTAGCTTCTTGCTCTAACTATTCGAGGAATGATTGTGCTCTTGGCGGGTTGAATGATTGGTTGATGGATCGACTGCTTGATCGGTCTGTTGTCTGAGTGGCTGATTGGTTGATTGATTGATCGATCATCCAATCAACCGGCCAATCTATCAACCAACCATTCAAATGATCAATCAACCGAACGGGGAGGCCGAAGTCGGATTAATCCGAACCATGATGGTAGTCCGTGGACGGTGCGATCAACACGAATTTACGACACAGAACTCGCCCCGTGCGATCACATTAGTCGAAGCCTGGAAACCGAACGTGTTCGCCGAGACCTTGGGATGAACACAAACCACCCGGATCAAATTCGGATGCATCCGGCCCTCGTCCGTCTTGAACTCCGCCCCCCTTCGCACTCGCAATGATGTGTATTGAAAACCAGATTTATGGATGAATACGATCTACAGGCGCTTGGCAACCGAAGCTTGGATGGATGAACTAGCGAAAACGATACATGTCGACCATTTCTTGCTCAAGTCAGACTAATCTGAAATTCCACCACGGACATTAAGTTCTTGCTCTAAATATTCGAGGAATGATTGTGCTCTCCCGTGGTAGGGGAAGTTCCTACGATGTGGAGCTCGGAGAAAACCTGCTACAACAAGGTGGGGTCCGGACGTTGTCAAACATGGGAACGTCTAGTTCGGATTCATCCGAACCACGAACGCTGATCGAATAGACAAGTAGGCGTGCAGTTCGGATTCATCCGGACTCCTCTCCGTTGCATGAACAGCCTTGGGAGTTCGGACGAATCCGAACATCCGCGGATTCATCCACTCTTTCTCTTCGTTTTTCTGTATCATGTATCTTTCGTGAACTTTCTGCTTTCCTACCTTCCCTTCCTTGTTTGTTCGCGATTGATTACACGTGGGAGACTTCGAATCTTCGCTTGCCCGGGAAGGATAGTCCGTGATCGTCGAAAGGTAGTCTGAACGGAGACGTGCGACGGAAGCGGTGCGACGGGGACTGCTTGCAGACTAAACGAACACGATTGTTCGGCAATCAACGGGGACTTGTGAAGAAAACGTGGATTTCCAATACGGGAGAAGTCTTCGAAGTATTATGACACGAACGAAGTCAAGCTACTAGGCGAAGAAGATGCGTGAAAACAAGACAGATGAATAAAACGGTGTACGAGTGAAGGAGAACAAGAAAAGACGAAAGAACACAAAGGAAGAAGACGAAGAGAACTCCGAGGAAAAAAAAGACACTCGAAACGCATAGTGAAACAGGGCAGACGTGTGCTGATCCTCCCCTTGAGCGTGTTGTCCCTGTTCGCAGGTCCTTTCATATTTTTTTCTCACACTTTTCCCTTCGTCTAATCGGTATGTTTATCACGTTTTACACCTCGTCAACGGGTGTCGAATCAGCGGTCCACGGATGAATCTCGTCTTTATCGTCACATTCACTTCATGTCTTCACGATCGTGTTTTCATATCAACGGGGACCTGTGAAGAAAACGTGGATTTCCAATACGGGAGAAGTCTTCGAAGTATTATGATACGAACGAAGTCAAGGGACTAGGCAAAGAAGATGCGCGAAAACAAGACAGATGAATGAAATGGTGTACGAGTGAAGGAGAACGAGAAAAGACGAAAGAACACAAAAGAAGAAGACGAAGAGAACTCCGAGGCAAAAGAAGACACTCGAAACGCACAGTAAAACAGGGTAGACGTGTGCTGATCCTCCCCTTGGGCGTGTTGTCCCTGTTCGGGGGTCCTTTCGTCTTTTTTTCTCACACTTTTCCCTTCGTCTAATCGGTGTGTTTATCACACTTTACACCTCGTCAACGGGTGTCGAATCAGCGGTCCACTGATGGATCTCATCTTTGTCGTCACATTCAGTTCATGTCTTCATGATCGTGCTATGAAAATACGAGTTGTAGTGTCTTTTAATGTATAGCTGCCACTCTCGCTCATTACTCGTTGTTCGGAAGACACGTGCGTGAATGGCGGGTTGATTGATTGGTTGATAGATCGACTACTTGATCGGTCCGTCGTCTGAGCGGCTGATTGATTGGTTGATTGATCGATCATCCAATCGAGCGGCCAGTCTATCAACCAACCATTCAATCGATCAAACAATCATTCAATCAATCAATCAATCAATCAACCAATCAACCAATCAATCAATGAACCGACCAGCCAGGCAACAAATCGTATTATCCAATCAATCAACCAATCAATCGCCCAATCTAACAAATAACCAATCAATCGACCGCCCAGTCATGGATTAATCAATCAAGCAAGGGAAGACGATCACCAACGCAGGTCACAATCAATCAACCTCACGCCTCCTTTCCGAACCCTTGTTCCGCCGACGCAGACCCCAATCCGACCCCATCCGACCCGTCAGGCAGATTGCGCGCGGACACAAGCTGAACGCTTTGTTGACGTGGCTGCGCGGGGTGAAGAGGACTCATGTCCGACCACGGCGCGACTCACTCTGCATTGTCTGAGTGTCATCTGGTCGTCAGTGCAAAAACCGTGTGAGAGGGCCGAACGTTAGAGAAGAAGTTCCTGATTCCCATGTTGGTGTCCAGATTTCGCGGTGGACTTTTTTGTATGATATCTCCGGTCGTCAGCAAGTACATTCCACTTGAATGGCGGGAAGTGAACATCGCCCGCATGCACTTCGGATCTCCAATCAACCGGCGAATCTATCAACCAACCATCCAAATGATCAATCATTCAAACGGGGAGGCCGAAGCTCGGATGAATCCGAACCATGATGGTGGTCCGCGGACGGATCGGTCAACACGAATCTTCGACACAAAACTCGCCCTGTGCGATCGCATCAGTCGAAGACTAGAAACCAAACGTGTTCGCTGAGACCTACGGATGAATACAAACCACCCCGGTCAAATTCGGATGCATC